AGAATCTATGGGGCATTGCCAAGAGAAAGATGAGACATGAGACCGAACAATGCAGAAGAGCTGAAGGCCGCTATTGAAGCATCCTGGTCTTCCATAACACCTCAGCAGTGCCACAGACTGATAGCTTCCATGCCACGCCGCATTGAGGCAGCAATTGCTGCAAAAGGGGCACAAACCAAGTACTGAGTACATATGCATGCTTATACTTTTCAGAGGTCCGATATTGTTCTATGTACAATCCTTGTTTTATTGATTGCATGTAATATTCTAATTTTCTGAGATTGTGGATTTGGGGTTTTCATGAGCTGTAAGCCATAATCATCACAATTATGACAAATCACGGCTTGAACTATCTTGCTTTGCATGTAATGAGTCTATCTCATATATTAGTTTCACCTTTTAAGTTGCATTAGTGAAATAAATTATCTTTTGCACGATATTCTAATTATTCGCGTTTCACCTGTATATGTTGTGGTGTTGTCCAATTTGCTGGTCCTTGTATGTGCTACATAAGTGTACGCTGTGATAAAATTTATGTGATAAAAAATGTGTTCTATTAAAGTGGAACTTTGAGCAAAATAAAGATTGGCATAAAGTATCTATGATGAAGTCTGCCAATAGCCTTAAAAGAGCAGTTTTGAGTCCCCCCATAAAATGTAATTATGTGCTGATCTTGACATTTTTTTCCCCACTTTCTTTAACAAGCTATGCTGTCCAGCAAGGATGGGACAAACCAAATAAAATGCCTAGGAGTTGTTAACATGGTCAGCTTTTTTCATATGGTACAAACCTTATTCCAATAGTATTAAAGTTATGATTTAATTTGTTTGTCTCCTATCTAAAGTCTAAACTAAATGGCCATCTAAATAACCACCCTATCCACAGGCTGAAAATGTTGCTGTTTGATTTTACTGTAGGACTAACAGCATTGCCGTCCTATTACAGGGAGTTGAACAAGATCAATGTGTAATAAAACTATGTTAAAGACAAAAACTGCTGTGTTAATGGTAGTGACAGACTGCATACATTTTATTGCAACACAGAGCATTACATGGTATGGCAACACGCTGCCACACATAGAGTTGAATAAATGTAAAAAAAAAATTAAAAAAAAAATCCCATGCCACAATGCACTGCAGTACATGTGCACACTGCACACCAGTGCTATATAAATGCTGTATAATAATAATAATAATAATCATTGTTTAATAAAAGTGAGTTATTTTAGACTGAATACAATTAGGTTTCATATGTACAGTCACATGGTTTAAATAATGATTCTTATCCTGGAAATAAAGCTTTGTAAATTGAGCCTAATGTATTTAAAAAAACGTTTTAAGTGATTTGATAAGCTTGGATTATTTATCATCACATCTTAATAGACAGTAGAACTAGCAACATACACATTACTATCTCTTTATTCATTCATTTTCATTTATATTTTTTTATCAAAAATTCCATACTAGACTAAAGTATATTTATATTACTAAGCATCCAATAAAAAGCAGCACATACATTGTAACACTGTATGATAACCATAGCTTAGCTGTGTCAAAATGATGGGGAATGCAGAGTTTCTGGGATGTAGTGGGCAGCTTGTGGGTGGGGTTGGGGAATCCAGAGGGTGTGCTCTGGGTGGGGTTGCAGTGCCAGTAAAATTGGTAGGCTCACCTTTGCACTGCAGCAACTTTTTCATCTGCCTGGCGCGCCACTCTTTTGTCTGGCTGTTGCTGTTTCAATAAAAATACTGAACAGCTTCCACAGCATCAGCCAGCATCCAGTGGTGCTGGTATTGGTATTTGTGTTTTCCCATAGATCAATTATAAATAACAAAATTCAAAGAGCAATGGTCTGCAGTAGTTCACAGTAACCAATCAAATATTAACTTACAATACTATGATGCACACTCCAGGTTATTTTTATTGACTATTAATAAGATTATTTTTTCATTGACTTCTATATAACAGGGATTCATGCTTCTCTATTAAATACTGCTTTTAGATTGTAAGCCCTCACGGGCGGGGCCCTCCTTACCATCTTGTCTTGAATTGTATTGCAATTGTATTGACTTCCTTATATTGTAAAGCGATGCGCAAACTGTTGGCGCGATATAAATCCTGTATAATAATAATATACTAAGAATAGTGTACATATATGTGCATTAATGTGTGTAATAAGTTCTAAACTGCCAATTACATGTTCTCTTACTGTATGCAAGTGTTAACTGGTTGTTATATGTGATTTAAACAGCTTCTTGTTTTAAAACAATATCCTACTTTTCAATTAGAGCAGTGTTTTTCTTCAGGAAAATGCATTAGTGTCTATAACAGAAAAAACAACAAATGCTTGCTTAGAACAGGCATTGTTTCATTAAGCAACTGTTATCATTATTTCACACTTTACGAGCTATTAACATATCCTGTGATGGATGTATGATGTCCCCCCCTTTAAAGTCCTCTACTGATAAAATAAACTACTATATTCATTGAGCAGAGCCATACAGGATGCTCAGATGTGCTAACTAAAACAATCCATCCATAATGGCAAACTAAATGACAACGCTAAAACCTCAGAAAAGTTCTATTTCAGAGGCTCTATATAAAAGGTACAACGAATAGAGCAACAATTCATGTTAAATAAGTGTTAAACACTATTTTTATTGAAACTGGTTATTTAAAGCGGACCTTTACACTCAAAAATCTAATTCTACTAATGCATCCCTCTATGTATGATGATTAATAATAACATAGACATGTCAGGTGTAAAATGCGGTGATTTTGAAATACTTACACTTGCAGATCATTCACTTCCTGCTTTGAAAGGGTATCATGGCTTCAGTTTGCCAAAGCAATGCACACTGGGATTGCCTTGTCATCAGCAGAGCATTGCTGGGAAATCTCATCTGTAATCTCACGAGATCTCAGGGAAAGGCATTTTCCTCCCCTGAGATGATGTGCATGGTCACATGTCCTAGTCACATGTCTAGTCACATGTGCCAGAAATCCAGGAAGTACTAGGAGAGCTAGTAATCTGCCCTTAGTAAACATGGCCACTGTCAGAAGACTGGGGAAGAAAAGAGAAATAAGGTATGCAAAGAATACAAAGCCTGCAATTATCTAGAAGTATGTGATTGCAGATTGTCATTACTAAACATTTGTAAAGGTGTGTTTGTTTTTATTTTAAAGATATGGGTAAAGGTCCGCTTTTGATGACAATGCAGTTTGTGAAGAGGGCATATATTCACTTCAACAACTTTTACCTGTTACAAGTTCCCATAGGAGTTTTCAAACTGGTGGGGTTGCGAATCATTTTGTCTAGAATACCAACAATCTGTTCAAATTTGGGCCTTTCCCCACGTTCCTTCTGCCAACAATCTAACATCAGTTGATGAAGACCAGCAGGACAGTCCATTGGTGCTGGTAACCGGTAACCTTCCTCAATAGCCTTTATAACCTAAAAATTACACAGAAATATTTTTGCATAAACATCAAGTCGGCATGTGTAGCATATTCACAAAAGCCCACTCAATTGTGTATTATGGTATGCAATAGTTTAAAAAGGTCTCATTTGCTCTCACTGCTGAAAACCACCATTATTATGGCAGATAATGATCATAAAGAGAACTGCATAATTAACATGGTTGGATATTTAACACTTATAGTGGAAACAATGGTACAGCTCTATGAAATGGGGAAAAAATAGGATTTTGGCTTACAAGTAAAATCAGTTTCTTGAATTCCAAAACAGGACAAAGGCATATTCAGAGATGACTAGGTAATAAGCAGGTATCAGGTGATTGGACACTGGCCAGAGTTGTGAGGACCCCACCCATTCCCAGAAATCCTCAGTTTTTTAGCAAGCAATAGGTGACACAAAGGGTATTCTGTGTCCTGTACTTGATAGTACAGTACAGGACACTGGCAGATTTAGAGGCAACTGGGATGTCCAAACTGTGGGATGGGCAACACAACAAAAAAACAATCAACAGGCCCACAAACCAAGGGGAAAACCCCAACCTGCAGCATCTTAGGGCCAAAACTAGCATCAGCAGAGGGCCGAACATCTATCAGGTACTGGCAGATCTAGAAGAGTGTGCCTTCACAGGAAAGGGTAAAGTCCTATTCTAAACAAATAGACATGCACAATGCACCGCCAAATCCATCCAGAAGTGCTGCAACGAGATGCAGGGAGCACCCTGCAAGGTCCTTTGGGAAGGACAAAAAGAAAGATTGTCTTAAGGATGCTGAGCGCTAAACTCAGATGGGTTGAACCACATCCAAGCAGTGATGTTTGTTTGTGAATATCCATGGGGCCGTGGAGAAGCCAAAGGTAAGTGCCACAAATGGTAAATGTTCCTCCAAGACAAACTGCTGGAAGCATTGGTGCGGAGGTAAAATTGGTATATGCAGGTAGGTATCCGTGATGTCCACCAAAGCAATAAAATACCCCTGTTGAATAGAGGTGGTAACTGATCATGCTGATTCAATGCAGGGTTTGCAGGTACTCAGACACCTGTTTAGAGTATTATTTTGTTTGGGACCATGAACAGATTGTAGTAAAACTGTTAGAACTGCTCCTCCTGAGGGACAGGGATGATGACTCTTGATGTCAGCAAATGTTGCAGGAGCCTCTGCAGAGACTCTTCCTGCAGGAGGGGAAGAAGGCTAATTTGAAGGCGTAGATCGAAGAGAGTACGACAAAAACAAATTTTTTCAACCCACAGATCCTGGATGTCTCGACTCCAAACAGCTGCAAAGGCCAGTATGCATCCCCTACTTGTGAAAGTTGCATGTTTGGAAGGCCTAGTTGTCCGGAGCCTACATCTCAACTGGGAGCCAGGTTCTGCCTAAGAGATGGAAGCCTGGGAGAGACGAAAGCCACCCTTCCTGGCCTAAGCCGAGAAAGACTTACTGGGAGAAACCTTAGAGTTCTGCAAGTTGGGTAGGAGAGTGCTCTTAAACCTCTTAAAACCTTCTTGATGAAAGTGTCAAAACTTCTCTATGAAGAGATGCTCACCCGCAAAGGGAATCCACGTTTTTAGCTGACCAGTTCTGATGACGAGTACTTAAGCCACAGGAGCCTATGCATCTGTACTGATAGGCGTTCCAGCCTAGAAAGCTGATGCAAGGTGTCTGCTAAACCATGCATCTACATGGGGCACCAGCAGACGTTCTAACTGCCCTAAGAAGGGTCTACAGTGATGGAACCAGGATTACGCAATATGCGTTTGGTCTAGACTGCTAGAGTCTGACAAACTGCCATAATGGCCACTGCTGATTGTAGGGTAGGTCCAATAAAGGCAAATGAGTCCTTGAACAATCCTTCAAGGTGTTTATGCACTGAATCTTCAAAGTCTGGAACATTCTCCCCCATACAGTCAAGGTTTTGTTAAGGCCAGTGATTGCAGCATCTATCTTCAGCACTGCCCACTTTCTCATGGCTGTTTTCTATAAGGGGTTTTGTAGTGAAAATCATTTTGGAGGAGCAAACACTTATCAAAATGTTATCAATCTAGATAAGGCATCTCCTCTACCAGGATGTGCATTGGAAAGGCATTATTAGGCTTCTTTTTCCTAAGAGAATCCACACTAGGCTTAGGGCCATAGCACCATCTTGTGTAGGTGGGCCAATGGGTAGACACTCCCTCACCACGTTGAAGAGCACCAAACTGGTGCCATAGGCAAATGGTTGAAGACAGTTCCTCCTGTGAGGAAACGTCCGAGAAGGAAACCCCTGGAAACTTGGCAGCCATGGATGCATCTGACATGGAGTCAGAAAGGGGATAAGAAGGAGGAATGTGCTTACTCCCTCTGTGGCCAGACTCATCAATCATGGCAGAAGAATATTGTACCCTGGTGGGGCAATAAATGCATGTGAAGAGGGCAGTGAGCCTGAAGGAGGGATAATAAACAGACCATGTAGGGCAAAGTCCCTGGGGGAACCTCTGGTACCCTCAACACTATGTTAAAAGTGAGGGGCCTCATAAGGGTACTCACAGACTGGGGCCAGAAGAATAAAGAGAGTCCCCACATGCTAGGTATATTGAGTGCCCAGACTTAGCAGGACTGTTGCACCTGTGTCCACCATACCCCCACACATGATTTAAACATTTGTTCCAAGCAAGTGTCTGTCCAGTCCAAATAAATGTTCCTTTTAAATGACCACACATGTGAGTCCATTCGGAGTGAACATTTGTTTCGGCTAAGGAACCTGGCTGGTCAAAGGATGGGGTCTAAGAAGGCACAGGCTAGACAGAGAGCAGGTGGCAGATGGAGGAGGGCATACAGCATGGGGGGGGGCGGGCTTAGCCACTGTCCTCGACCTGTATTGCACCCTGCAGTGAACCCAACACACAGTACCAGTGCCAAGGTGGGCGCCTAATGCAGAAGCCAGTGCCCGAAGTGACCTTACAGGCTGGCCCCCGTGCCTTACATCCAGCAAGGCCCAGGCACGGTTCCTAAAGGTGGTGCACTAATATGGAAGCTGTGAAGTTGCCACCATTGTCAGACGCAGCAAGATAATTTTGATTGAAGAATCAAAGGACATAAGGTAATTAACACTTCATACTAGGGATATTCAGGTACCAAGTACCGTACTTGGCACAATTACAAGTAATTATACTTTTCCAGCTCCAAGACTCGTCACTAACTCTTGGCCCCAAAACGTTGGCTAATTGATGCTTGTGACATGTTTCTTCAAAAAATAAGTAAAATAATTGAATCTTTTTGACCGAGTGCTAGTGATCTCTACAGCTCCAAGACTAGACTAGAAAAAAAACTCAAAAGTTAAGAGGCAGCTATAATTTTTAAGGGGCATTGGCTATGGGGATCCTGGGATTTGTGCATTCCTGTATTAGTGTATGATTTGTTTTATATACATATATTAGGGATGCACCAATACCATTTTTTTCCAGGCCAAGTACAAGTACTGATACTTGTCCAAGTACTCACAGATACCAATTACTGATACATTTTTGTTTAGTGTTATGTGACAGTTTTCTAAAACACTTACAGACTAATGATTTCAGGACAGTGGTGGATCGCTGGGGGCCAGTCGCAGCTGCAACTTCTGTGACCCTGGTAGTTCTCGTGAAAATGCCAAGTATCGACACTGGTATCTGAACTGGTATCTGAACATCCTTACTACATACATCTCCCTCAGTAGAGGGGAGACATCACCTAATGACACTAGCAACATTTCTGGGACTGAGAGGGGTTATATAAGAGTCCTTGATGTCTGGCCAGTGTCCAATCACCTGATGATACCTGCATATTATCCAGTCCTGTTTGATCAAAAAAAGTACTTACCTTTTGATGTCTAATGATTTGATTCAGATGAAAGCAAATGTTTAAGGCGTCATTCACAAAGGAATTTTATGTCCGACAGACTCAATGGGTTATTACACCAAGAATCACAGGAGGTGCTGGACAGCTGCAGCCCCTCAGTCAGTGCAAAACAATGACAGGCTGACAGAAGCTGCAGGTGGCTGTTGCTATTCACATGTATCTGTACATCTGGTGGTCTCCTGCAGCTAGGGACAGATGACTGGTCCTGAGGCAAGCTGAACTTAATGTCTCTTTTTTCAACCTATGTAACCTAGCAACTGTAAATGTGAATGGATACTTTATCCATTATTCTTAAAATCTAACTCCACGTTTTTACCAATAGGACCTGTTCTAAATTATACCGCAATATTTACACTGTATTTATAAGATGATTGACTAAAATTTTCAGGGTTTTGGTGTCACTCTTGTACATAATGTCTTTATATATCTCACTAAAATCTCTGACAGTCCTGTACAAGTATGCCAGAGGCTCAAACAGCATATAACAAAACAATAAATCAGAAAAAAAATCAATGCTGCTTTATTCTGTGCAATATGTACGGTGAACAGACATGCCTGTGTCACCTTACCTCTTAAATCACCAGTAAAGTTTTAATTGTCCAGAGGAATAGTGATAAGGAATATGATATTTAACCAGTTGACATCCGCGGTGTTAAACCCCCTTCCCATCCAGGCCATTTTTCAAGCAGAAACCTGTTTTTTACAGCCATTGGCCCATGACCCTCGATGCCATGATCTCTTTGGCTATGATAAAGTACAAGTGCTTTTTGGGGCCAGCAAGAAGAGAAAAAAACAGAAGAGTGTATTCAGACTACTTTATTTATGATAGCACAATGAAATGCTTCCATTCTACTGTCTATTGTACTGAGTTTTAGTATCATGATAGTGACTCTTACTGCTGTGGTAACCAAGTTAAAACACATTGCTGCAAACTTCATTAAACCCCACAGCCTTGAGTTAAAGGCATTGAGAGAATCAATCAGAAGGACATGTAAAAGGTTAGAATGATGTTATAAGGCAATTCATGTCACTGACAATGTGCTACAAAGCTCTCATAAAAATACTAGTGCAGTATTCATGCTCCTGAATGTCATGCAGTGAAGGATTGTCTGAAACTGACTTTCAGGAAAGCTGGGAGACAAAAGAGTTTTTCAGCCAGCACACGAGAGTAAATGAGGTTTCACTGGTAACCTCCAATTAATTCTTATCATGATGTCAGTTCAGTAAAATGAAATAACTAATTAATAAGTAAAATAGATTTCTATTCAAAAATGAAGTATTCATCGCTAGAAAGGGAGATGATAAAAATGTTCATTTTATAACTTATTTTGCTTAATAAAATGTTTTGCAAAGGTGAAGGTACAATACACTCAGTGGTGTTGATTTATTAAAGGAGCAGGGAATGTTTGCTTACGAAAGTGAATGTTCATTTTGCTTAGTGATTAAGTTGAAGTGATGTCCACTTTGAATATCCAATGATGTCCATGGGAAACAGACAGGATTTCAGCTTGTACATCATTGGATGATTAAAGTGAACACAGCTTTACCTTATTCACTAACGTTTTGGAGCCTCCATGTTGCAAAGTTAACAATCAATTCTAGGGCTGCAGCTAATGATTAATTTCACAATCAATTAGTTGTCCGATTATTTTTTAAATTAATCGATTGGTTGCATTGAAAAAAATATTTCTCTCTCCTCCTCCCCCCACTAATCGATAACGAGAATTGTTGCCAACTATTCTCATTATCGATTATTTGTTGCAGCCTTACTCAATTCAACTGCAAATTAACCCTAAAGAGTAGAATACTGAGCAAATGCACTTATACTGGGTTAAGCTACATCCATACTAGTGTCAAAAGGTGGCACTCACATTCCAGGTACATCTCAATCACTTCCTGAAACCTGGTGCAAAAGATGTGTATTGAGCTAAATTCACTTTGGGTAGTTTCATGGTCTGCAGTTCCTGTGCCTTTTTATTGATTTGTGCAGCTCCCTGTCTGAACCAAACGCTCAATGCCAGAATTTTTATAAAGACATGACAAAAATAGTTGTGTGTTTCATCTTAATGCAAATTGGTGCAACGCCTCCCCTGCTCCATAAGATGATCCCCCTCAACAAGGAAGAGTGATATTTTTTGCCTAGTTCTTGCCTAAAATGGTGAGCTAACAATAATAATAATAATATTAAGTAACCAGAACTCATAAAATAAAACAAGCAAGACAGTTCTCAATAAGGCCACACATCTAGAACTAAAAATACAGACATTTTTTATCAATTATTAATGATTTACAAATGAAAGAATCATTGATTGCACACATACAATTCCATTCTGTGCTACAAACTATACCCTAGAAAGTGCTGCATGAAAAATGAAGCTTTGACAGGCCAGAATATGTGACCTTTTTTCCTTGCGATAAAGTAAGATGGAATGGCACCAGGATTAACGGTAGCAGCAGAAGAGGTGATGTTAAAAGAATCATCTGGGATTTCTAGCAGCATATTATTTGATGTGAAAAGCTGTAGAAATGGCTCACACACTCTTCAATAATGGCTTGCCCAATGATTGCTTGTCTAATGTGGCAGTATACTGCGGTTAATAAATACAGTCTATGAGGATTTGAATGTTCAAAAAGCAACATTAGATGCCCGTTAACTCTGCCAGAAAACATGGATTCAATATTAGAGACATTTGTCAAAGCATGCAAACCGAAAGACAAAAAAAACCTGGAAGTCAACCTTGTCAATTGTAAAACTGCTCGAGATAAGACACGCTTAAAATTAAACTTTTAAAAGACTGCAACAACTGACTTATGAATTGACTGCTTCAATTGAATCTCTTCACAGCTTATGTCCAGCTCCAGGATAAATACAGATGAGCGTCTACTAACTCTGCAAGCTAAACAATAAATGATAAACACGAGCTTCCCATTCACTTGTTTGAATGTTAAGCAGCTGTAGCTTTACAATCACTTTATATTCTTGTCAGAGATGTTTATGTTTGTTGGTATGGCTTGAAGAAGGTGTCAAATATATAAAACTTTACTGAATATCCAGGGGAATGTAAATATTTCTTTTTTTCTCAACCCCAAGGATTTGTTTGCACATATTTTGACAGTCCATGAAATCTTTGACACTGAGCCTTGTCAGATGTTAACAACTTTGCACTCTGCAAAAATGTCTCATCACTTTAATTTTTTATATCTTCTTCAAGCTTTGTGAACCTTGGCTGAAAACCAATCATGCATGAGAAGCCTTTATTTGACAGAATTAAAATGTCTTAATTCTTACATAAACACTATAGTATTATACTGGTTAGGGGAATGGTATCTATATAAACAAAAATACAATACTCATAATTAGTATAGTAATGTAAAAAATAAAACTTACATCCTGGTTTGACATGTCCCAATAAGGCCTTTCTCCATAAGACATTACTTCCCACATTACAATTCCATAACCCCACGCATCACTGGCTGATGTAAACTTGCGGTACTGAATTGCCTCTGGAGCTGTCCATCTGACTGGGATTTTTCCTCCCTTATCAAAACAAGGAAATTACATTTATTGGCTAAACTGAAATTCTGACTCAATCAATCCTATGCAAGAGGAGTACTGTTCAATTATGTGTGCCAATTTACTATTTCTGATATTATATATATATATATATATATACACATACA